ATATATATATATATATATATATATAGTAATTACGTGTACTTAAAGTTATAGAATATATGTGGTAAACCTTTACATTAAATATTCGTTTCGGAGGGTTCTTTAAGCATGATTTATTTTTGGTCTAAATTAAAACCGTGCCTTGTTTCTTGCAGCCACTAGCCATCGGCTACTTACTTCAGGTAGTCTAAAACCTTGACCAATTCTTCGCCCATCATCTGAATTGTAGGATAGGGGACACTGATGGAAGATAATAAGAACAAGTTTTAGCTTAATCGTTCAGAAATATTTATTACAGACACATTCACAGAGAACTAATTGTTGAAATTATTTTCAAAGTTGTATTTGTATGTTAAACTTGGGGTTTTATTTGTTACTTTACTCAACTTTTCATATTATTTATTTCTACCTTTTAACAAGATTTATGCTGGAGAAGACACTGGGCAAGTATTCGAAGATAACTTCCATCACCTTAAAAAACATAAAAGAAATTTACGTTTTCAGAACACCAAACCTTTGGAAGGCTATGAAATAGACATGTGGAGCAGGTGTTTTTCTACCGAATAGTCTTGTTTAGATAGTAAATCAAAACAGCTGAAATGGACTGTGGTTCAAAAAACAAACAGTAAACCAGTGTTCAGTGCAGTAGACGGCACCATTAGTAGTTGTAGTGCTCGCTTTTTAAGTACACATCATTTTAACTATTTTGGTTTTAGTATTGATTTTATATTGATAAATTTCCGCATTTTATTACTTCTTGTTTTTACTTTAATACGAGATCAGTGTTGAAGTTGGCTATAAGAATTTAACAACTCATAATGTCCTTTTCTTCAGCTTATTATTTTAACTAATGTATCACGAGATTTATTAATTTCATCATTCTAATTGGTCAGTTGTTAGGCTTAATGTCGATTTTTGTGTATACTTTACATTCCGGTCGTGGGTTGATCTTTTAGTTCACTACCGTATTGGCCCGATTATAAGGCGATGTTTTTTATGTTAATAATTAGGCTGTAAAATTCATAGTTGTCTTATAATCGCGGCCGACCACAGGTCCCTTTCCCCTACTCTAGGCTGTCGCATTCCTGATTGTCCAGATAGCATCCCTCTATGCATGCGCGCCAGATGTTGCTCAAGTTCATCGCTAATTCTTGCAACTAATCCACCTGCAGGATGTTCAGTTATAATATTGATTTTACTGACTTAAAAAGGACGTTATGACACTCATTTGTTTTCTTTCCCGTAGTTTCTGAAAATGGGGGTCGCCTTATATTCGAGATCGTCCTATAATCGGGGCAATACCGTATTTCTTAGATGAGAAGAGCTTCGTGTGAGGAGACAAGAAACCATGAATATGTAATGATGCAGTATTTTAACAGGGAAGATATGATAAAAAAGCACGGAAAAGAAAATGCGAGTACAAACACCATTTAAAAACATGGATAAATAGTACCAATAAAGTATTTCTGGTTCATAATATTAAAACGTAGGTTTTGTATGTCTTTTTTCATACAGTAGATACGTCTTGTCTGGGTAAATAAATGACCACAAATTCTAAATAGTACCAACTTCATTATTCAAACATGGTAGCGATACATATTGTTAAAACAAAGTCGTGAAAGCATGATTAATTGAATATACTACCTTCTACACAAACAGAAAGAGTCATTAAATCATAACAAAATTAATTATATATTGACTAAAACCTACTTTGCTGCATTCTAATAATAGTTTTCAATCTATACTTTCGTGAACGAAATAAGTTAAGAAATACAAGTATAGTAATACTTACTAAATTGTGGTTCCAGCTGTTATACGAACGTAAATACAGGGGCTATTGACAAGACGATGGGTCATTATTGACTGACCTTCAGGGTTAACAAGGGTAAATAGGTGTCAAAACTGACTGACAAATCGGTTACGTTTTGAATGCTTGCTGTCAGCACCACCAGGGATCTCTAGTTGGACTAAATTATGAAAGGATTTCTCACCTTTCCTCTTAGGAACAGTAGAAATTAATTATGAAAATGATCATACTACATTAAGTCTTTTCTAGTCCTTCAAAGTGTGTCTACCGGCAGGTCAGAGATAACTTTATGAACTAACAGGGCTAAAAATCAGGGGTTCGACTCTTCGCGGTTGAAAGAGCGCAGATAGACAAATTTGTAAAACAAACAAAATTTTTGAAATTCTTCATAAAAATATACTGCGCTTAAGTGGCTGTTTATATAGTTACAAAATCTAAAATATAAGTTGGTAATGCTGTCTGGAAATGTTATTGATCATATATTGTTATATATACACGACTATTTCTGTTTAATGCGAGCATTATGACTTACATAGTTTACCTAGCGCAAGTGTTGAATTTAGTTATTTTTAGAAGCGATAGTTTATCTCAAGTTTGTTTACGTAACTGTTTACGAATCGCGTGTTGTGTAGCTCAACAGTTATGAATTGGTGACTGTTATATTATTGCGTTATGTTACTAAAACCTTCTAAGTTTTCTAGTTGTTTTAATTCAGTATTATTGCATCATAATATCTAGTAGGTGTGGAACGTCCTAGACCTCTGTTGGGCTATAGATACGTGTCGAAAATGTTGTTCAATATAGTTAGATCTAGACTGCGTGATTGTGGGTTCAGCCATAAAGAGCGTATAGTGGCAATTTTTAAAGTGAAATTATTACATATTGTATTGTAATAACAGAGTAGAGAAGAAGAATTCATCTTGAACCAGATTGTGTGGACTTTGACGAAAAAGAGAATTATTTATAGCTCTAGAGATAACTGTGATAACTAACAGTGTAACGAACATTTGTATATACGTCTGACTTGTTTTAATAT